CCGGGCTCCCCTCCCGGTCCCTCCCGGCCGGGGCTCCACACGCAGCCGGTACCGGAGCCATCCCCCCGCCCATCCCCGCAACCGACGGCTCCTCCGCCACCCGTGATCCGTGGGGGGGACTCGGCTTGACGGGTGTTGCCCCCGGGGCCGGTCCCCGCCGCAGGATCCAGCGGTGGCCAAAGAGGAGAGGAGAAGACATCCCAGCGGAGGAACCGTCGAGGAGGAGCCATGGGGAGCGAGGAGGTGGTGAGGGAGGAGCTGGGGAACCTCCACGGCATCCCCCTCTACAAGTCCTTCGTGGAGGGCTGGCCCCAGGTGGAGGCTTTCCAAGCCCGGCCGGATGACCTGCTCATCTCCACCTACCCCAAATCGGGTGAGTAGTCCCCGGGGGAAGGGCGTGAGGGGTTTTTGGGGGGGAGGACAGAGTGTGTGTGTGTGTGTGGGGTGACCCCCAGCCGTGGCATCGCTGTCCCTCAATGCCCCAGGCACGACGTGGCTGAGCGAGATCCTGGATATGATCTACCAAGACGGCGACGTGGAGAAGTGCCGGCGGGATGCCATCTTCAACCGGGTGCCCTTCCTGGAAATGAAAGCACCCCGGATCCCGAGCGGTGAGCACACACACACACACACACCCCCCCCCAAGCCCAGCTGCACCCCCCTGGGTTGGATGGGGAGGCAGCTGAGCCGGGGTGAGGGTGCTGGGGCTCCCACTGCTAAGCCCCCTGTCCCACAGGTGTGGAGCAGCTGGAGAAAACCCCATCCCCACGGCTGGTGAAGACCCACCTCCCAATCCACCTCCTCCCGAGCTCCTTCTGGGACAAGAACTGCAAGGTAACACCAGGAGCGACCCCCCCACCTCTGTCCCCAGCTGGGTGGCAGGGAGGGGGTGCCGCTCTGCACCACCCAACCACCGCATCCTCGGCTGTCCCCAGGTCATCTACATGGCCCGCAACCCCAAGGATGTCGTCATCTCCTACTACTACTTCTACCAGATGGCCAAGATGCACCCCGACCCTGGCACGCTGGCAGAGTTCCTGGAGACCTTCATGGCTGGCAAAGGTGGGGGGCTGAGCCCCAGGATGCCCACCTCAAAATGCTGGTGGCATCCCTGACCACCCCGGCTTTTCGGCTCACCCTTTGATTGCATCCCACAGTGGCCTACGGGTCCTGGTATGAGCATGTGCGGGGCTGGTGGGAGAAGAGGCACGAGAAGCAGCTCCTCTACCTCTTCTACGAGGACATGAAGAAGGTGAGGGTGGGATGGAGGGGAGGGCTCACTGGTGCCCCCCCCCCCCCCCCCCCCCCCCTCCGCATGTCAGCCATCCTGCAGGACCCACGGCAGGAGGTGCAAAAGATCCTGCAGTTCCTGGGCAAGGAGGTGGCAGAGGAGACGGTGGAGAGGATCCTCCACCACACCTCCTTCCAGGAGATGAAGAAGAACCCTGCTGCCAACTACGAGACCATGCCCACTGCCCTGATGGACCACAGCCTCTCCCCCTTCCTCCGGAAAGGTAGGGTTTGGGCCAACGGTTGGAGGGCTTGTCCCCAGGCTGTATTGCAGCTCCCATCCGTGGCTGTGGATATTTTGGGGGGGTGTCAGGATTTACCTCGCTCACTTTTCGGCCCCCAGGGATCTCTGGGGACTGGAAGAACCACTTCACTGTAGCCCAGAACGAGCGCTTCGACCAGCACTACCAGAAGCACATGGCGGGCTCCGACCTCTGCTTCCAGATGGAGGCATGAGGGCTCATCCCCCTTCCCAGAGGGGCTCTGCTTCTCCCTGCCCCCCCCCCAGCAAGGAGGGTGGGTCTGGGGGGGAGCATCCTCATGCTGATTCACTTTCCCCCCCTGCAATAAATTTGGGATAACCAGAGTAAGCCATTGCCTGTGGGGAAAGGGAGGGGGGTGAGGTCCCCCTGAATCCTGGGGGGTACCCCCACCCTCTCAGCAGGGAGAACGGTGGGTGTGGTGGGTTTTCAGAGGGGGGGCACCCTCCCAAAAACCCACCACTGGCCCCTGACACCTTGGGCAGCCCCAGCCCCGTCCTACCAAGGTGCCTGGTGGGGGGCAGAGGGGAGCAAAGAGGGGAAAAACCCCCAAAACCCCGGTGAAGCTGCAGCTCTTGCGTGCGCAGGAGCTTTCCTGCTCCTGGATGGTGACAAGTTTCTTGACAGAGCGGGCGGTGGCGGGGCTTGCCCCAAGTTCCTCAGCCCGTGGTTTCTCACCTCCCTGCCACGCTTGGACACGTCCCCAGCCTTGTCGGAGGGGGCACCCACCCCGCAGCCCCCCACTCGGCTGTGCTGAGCCCTTCCTTGGGGGGTGGCTGGAGGAAACCAGCCCCCATCCCACTGGGGTTTGCTTCGGAGCCCCAAATTCCCCAGTTACACCCTGTTTCCACCCTGTTCTGGAGTTTCCAAGGCTGCAGCTTTTTTTTTTTTTGGGCGGGGGGGGGAGGGCAAGGCAGTCTCACCGGGTTGTTTCATCCCCAAAGAGACGCAATCCGGGTCCACCTCTGACAGCAGCAGGATGGAGGGAGCTCTCCCGCAGGAATAACCCCTTTCCATGCATTTAAGTGCCAGGGAGGACCTTGTAGAGTGGGGTTGATGGTTGGGCTCGATGGTCCCAAGGGTCTTTTCCAACCTGAATGATGATTTGCTGATTCTCTGGGCTCCCCCAGCTCCTGGCTTTGCCCGTGGTTGTTTGCACACCCAGCCAGTTCTGCTGGCGTAGGAAGGTGGAGGGGCAGGGAGGAGGGCATGTCCCTGCCTGCAGGACACCCGAACGCGGCGTGTCCCGCCTCACCGGGAGCTTGATCCCTGGGGATCCAGTTCCCAAGGTTGCCAACAGGCTGGTGGCTCACCCCCCTGCCCTCCCTGCTCCCCCCTGGTTCACGTTCTCCTGTGGGAAGGAGGTAAGGGGGAGCATCTCCCCACCTTTAGACCCTTTTCCCAGGAGGGTGGAATCAGCCCTGCTCAATCCTGGAAAATTTGGACCCGTATTTGAGTGTCTCGAGGGTCTCAATGCCAGGGGGTGCCAGGGGGGACACGGGATGATGACCCAAAGCCTGACCTGCACATCCCGCTGGGAAGCCCTGCAGCAGTGCGAGGAGCTGGGGGCCCCCCGTGGGTTTTTTTTGGGGGGGGGGACACAGGGTGACGCTCACCCCCCCCTGGGGACGTGGGGTTGGGGTTTTCTGCCGGCGTTTTCACGGAGGGAGCGGTGATTTTTGCCCGCTGTGTTGGTCCAGGGGGGTGCTGAGCACGGCGCAGCTCATCACAGGCGTCCTCAGTTGGAGGGGGGGGGGCTGCGTCCCCATCCC